AAAACTACTAAATGCTCCGAAATGCTATTAAAACGTTCCTAACACCTTTTTTCTAGCTCTCCCCATCTCCGCATGTACTGTAAAAACACTAATGATGAACAAACGTTCCTAAACACTATTACCAGCGTTTTTTAGCCAGCGTTTTTTTCCAGCATTTTTTGAGCTTAAAAAAAAAATGTAGTGTGCATGAAGCCTTAGCATTTCCCCTCACATCTGATCTTGGTAACAACAGCCATCAGGACAAATATAGAGGTGTGAATCTCACCAGTGGAGTCACAGACAGCATATACACACTGGACAAGAATTTAACCCTTCCGCTACCAAAAACTTAAAGAAAAGGTTTTGTTTTACATACCCTTTAATATAGTCATGGTAGGGCTAATAGTGGCAGGAAAGTCAGAAAAGAAAGCTTTCACCATAAAATACCATGATTTCTTGGGGCAAAAGCTATGATTTTACAGTTTTTATTTTAAGTTTAAAATCAAAGAGTTTGAGTTTAAGATGAAAAATGTTGGCTTCCCCTTGTAGTAAAAAGCACTACAAGATTTTATTGCAGACACTGTATGAGTAGTCCTGAAACTACTAAAAGCCTGCGAGCCCCACAAAGTTTAACACATAAAAAAAAGTTTTATTTTTATTATAGGCTGGCAATTGCCCGATAATGAAATCAAAAGTTTACATTTTTCAAGTTTTAAAATGATTTATTATTATTTTTAATAGGGCAATTGTATCTGACAGTTGATGGTTGTTATTTTAGTAAAATGGAAGCTTCAGCCTGCATGTGATGCCTATGTCAGAGTAACATAGTGATCACATGATCAGTAATCACTCTGATTGGTTACTGATCATCAGTGGGGACCCCAGCTGATAGCTGGGATTGAGAGCCAGTAGCTGCACAAAGTGTTGCCTGCTGGTCAGTGGCGGACTGACAACTCATGGGGCCCCCGGGTAATAGGGGATCATGGAGCCCCTGTGTCCTCGCCCACACTCAAACCACACCCAAAAAAGCCTATGAAAGGTACCAGGGGCATCTCATGGGGCCCCCTACTGACCCCGGGCCCTCGAGCAGTGTCTGAGAACCCCAATGGTCAGTCTGCCCCCTGTTACTGGTACTCAAAGAAAAAAAACATATTTTGTATATTGGTTAATGTGGGAGAATTTTATTATAAAAACTGCAAACAGGAAAGGGTTAAAGGCCAAATCCACTCATTTCTATTACATATGCTGGACATATGGGGCAGATTCCGTTTAGGTCAACAGAGGATCTCCCACTGGTCTGGTGAACAGAGAAGGCGGATGAAAGGTCCGTGTCTGCTCAGTTTTATGCAGAGTGGACACAGACAGAGCCTGCTCTGCTCTATAGGTGGCCAGGAGTAAGCAGACTGCATTGTCCGTTTACATCCAACTGCCCTCCGATCTGAACTGCCTAGATTGATGGGAATGGATCCCTTTTTTTTTAGCACACAGTATCAGATTGGAGGTAGGCAAATGTAAAGAGACACAAGTCCATTTACACCAGCCAGTCCATAGGGGTGAATAGACTGTCCCATCAGGTCCATCTGAAAAGCTGTCAGATGGACATGATCAGACCAATAGTGTGAAAGGAGCCTTAATCTTCATTCAGCATCCTAGTTACATAATCAGTTGCTCTACAGATGCTAGTTGAGATAAATAGTAGAATCTTACACATTTACAATGTAAAAAAAACACAATTGTCTTCTTAGTTCTCTGTTTTTTGAGCTCCCCGAGCTGAAAAACAAAGACAAATACATGTCAGTCTGGAAATACAAGAAGTAGTTTTAATGAATGTATTAAGTTTTTAATCACCTCTTGAGGCAATAAGGTTTTCAGCCTGAGCTTCTTCATCTCCTGGAGTTCTACAGAGAAGACAGAAAAATATATGATAACAAGGGTTGTAACTTGAAAAAAGCAGCTGCTTTTGCTTTTTTTTGCACACGTTAAAAAATCATTTTAGACCTGAAGATTGTATAGGTCATATGATATTAGCAAAGGTCTAGGAAGCACAAAATTTCAGTAAGAAATCCACTTGAGTTCATTTTACGGCACAAAAACACAATAAATTACCCAATTTTTTTGTGAAATATAAAAATGTAGGTTGTTTACCTTATAAATAGGTACCCAAATGTCAAACCTTAAAATTGCTCGTGAAATGGTGACAAACTTCAATACCCTATATTTTCCATAAGCAGCGCTTTAAACGCTCCTACAGGTGATCAGTTTGCAGTTACACAGGAACTTTGGAGATAAAATGCTCTATAGCAATAATTTTTATTATTGCCATAAACATTACTGATATTCAAAGTTTTAGCCAGATGTTAGGTCGGACAATCTCTGACAAAGAAAAAAAAACACACACACACACATAATAAAAGTACTTAAGAAGATGATTACTGCATACTCTACCTCTAGGTCTAGGACATGATTTCCCACCAGCCTACTCTATGGAAGACATGATGGTTTTGTTTCTTAAAGAAAAATATTTGAATTGCAATTTATAATTTTGTTTGACATAAGAGATAATGGACTACATGTGGACCTCTAAATCGATATCTAAATCAATATTTGTATGACCACTCTCACCTCTGTGACTCTTACTCTCCTCTCCCATTCTGTATCCCACTCCTTTCCTTATCTTACCAACTATCCCGGTTTACCATTGCTTTTTATGTGTGTGTGTTTTTTCTCAGAGATTGTCCTGCTCACCTTTTTGTTAAAATTCTGTGTATCAGCACTGCTTAGACTAAAGGTAACACTATAAAGGTTTGTTAGTAGGGCCCTGACTTGCTGCCAGCAATAGTTATGCTGGTCGAGGGTCCCTCCTGCCATTCTTCTGCAACAGGATCGAGATAGCGCACCACACATTTGCAGCGTGGGGAGGATCTCCGCCTTCTTGGTTATTCACATACTCCAGATCTGAGGCACACTTTCTTATACACTTTGAAGTTTCTTTGAATAAACGAATGTGCACATGGTTGGCCTATTCAGATGCTATACTAGAACATGAAAATGGCATCACATACACATAACAGTGACAACATCTTCTCTGTTTCTTCTGCAAGTCTTGTCTTCCACCAGGGTATACCACTAAGCCTTTCCAGATGACATTCTTAACAGGCATCTTCATTAAAGTTCTCAGCTAGGTCCTTTGCTCCAACAATGTCCCAGGGTCTACCCCAGAGTGGTACTCTCTAAATCCCTTAGACTTCACATGTCATTTGCACCAAACTGCTCCTTCCTAACCGTCTCATCCCATACCATATATAGTTCAAAGTGCCCCACCCCCTAAAGATTCCCAGGGGAGGGTTCTACAGAATTGGGCACTAACCCCTGACTACCAGTTTTCCATGAAACTTTAATTGTTAGTGCCAATATATACGTATCATGGACAGTACTCACCTGTTTTGAAACTAAGAGCTCTGTTTTAGAAGATTTAGGCTGCATTCACACCGGAGCGCAGAAATTTACTGGAGTTTTTTTTAGTTTTTGAGCATTTTTGGAAGTGTATTACAAGCATTTTAGAAGCGTATTACAAGTGTTTTACAGCTTCAGGCGTCTTTGTTTAGCCAATAGAAAGCACTAGGAGGAGGAGAGGGGGAGGAAATTAGGGGTGGAGAGCTGCTGTTTGAGCAGAAAATGCACAACAAAATGCTTGTAGCGTAGCCTAATTTTTAGGCACTTCTTTTGAAGTCTATGGGGCCAAAAACGCTTCCAAAGAGAAGCTCATGAACATTTTTGAGTGAGAGTCATTTTGCTTTAGGCGACAGAATGCTCATATGTGAACAGGGCCCATTGAAATGAATGGGATTTGACTTGTTGAATGTTTTAGAGCTACAAGGTTCCGGCATTTGCTCAGTTGTGAAAGCAGCCTTAGTAAACGCTCTTACCCTTAATCTGCAACAATGAATATAAAAGAAAGTTATCAAATAAAATGATAGTATGTATATTTGTGCTCAAAAGGTAAAGTTATATGATTTCTAACATTGTTTGTTGGTTTAGCATCCAATGCAAGTTAATGCTGCTCATATATTGGCTTACCTTTGCTTTTGGTTAAGATTATTGCATCTGCACCTCCGACCTGCAAAAAGATACACAATATTTAGGTGATTGTAACCATATTAGTACACTTGCAACAACACGGTTAAGTACTCTCTGTTATATTTTTTGTTTGGAATAACAGTTACATTTTCAGGACAAGCATGTCCTGAAAATGTAACTGTTAGTACATATTAAAAAATCTCATGGACAGTACTCAACAATATGTACAAGGGTGCAATATGGAATCGCTAAAAGAATTAGCGCAAAGACTGAAGTAAATAATATAGAATGTGCCCTAGGTAACTTACTAAGCGCTAAACAAATTAAAATTGAATATATATATAAAGTATTGGGACACCTGTTTTAACAAGCACATGAACTTTAAAGGCATCCCAGTCTTACTCCATAGGGTTCAGTATTGGGTTGGCCCACCCTTTGCAGCTATAACAGCTTCAACTCTTCTGGGAAGGCTGTCCACAAGGTTTAGGAGTGTGTCTATGGGAAGGTTTGACCATTCTTCCAGAAGTGCATTTGTGAGGTCAGGCACTGATGTTGGACAAGAGAGCCTGGCTTGCAGCCTCTGCTTTAATTCATCCCAAAGTGTTCTATTGGGTTGAGGTCAGGACAGGAAAGTTGGGAGCATGAAATTGTCCAAAATGACTCCTTAAAAGTTCTCTTCACTGGAACTAAGGGGCCAAGCCCAACCCCTAAAAAACAACCCCACACCATAATTCTCCTCCACCAAGCTTTACACTTGGCACAGTGCAGTCAGGCAAGTACCGTTCTCTTGGCAACCGCCAAACTCAGACATGTCCATCAGATTGCCAGATAGAGAAGCGTGATTCCTCACTCCAGAGAACACGTCTTTGCTGCTCTAGAGTCCAATGGCAGTGTGCTTTATACTACTGCATCCAACGCTTTGCATTGCACTTGGTGATGTAAGGCTTGGATGCAGCTGCGCGGCCATGGAAACCTATTTCATGAAGCTCTCTACACACTGTTGTTATACTAATCTGAAGGCCACACAAAGTTTGGAGGTCTTTAGCTATTGACTCTGCAGACAGTTGATGACTTCTGCACACTGTGCGCTTAAGCAAGCGCTCTGTTATTTCACGTGGCATACCACTTTGTGGCTGAGTTGCTGTTGTTCCCAGTTACTTCCACTTTGTTATAATACCACTAACAGTTGACCGTTGAATATTTAGTAGCAAGGAAGTTTCGTGGATGGACTTATTGCACAGGTGGCAACCTATCAGGGTACCATGCTTGAATTCACTGAGCTCTTGAGAGCAACTCATTCTTTCACAAATGTTTGTAGAAGCAGTCTGTATGCCTAGGTGCTTGATTTTACATACCTCTGGCCAAAGAGGTGATTGGAACACCTGAATCCGATGATTTGGAGGGGAATCCCAATACTTTTGGCAATATAGTGTACTGTGTATATATATATATATATATATATAATGGATGCTAGGGATGGGTCCTAGGAGGTAGGTATATGTTCCCATTATTTGTGTCGTGATCCCTTTAAGTGGGAGGACAAGAACCAGAAGGAGTACTCAGGGATTCTTACCCGTGTAGGGTGAGGGGTTCTTGGGTAATCCAGTAGAAAAGGGAAATTGACTTACAGTTTTCTCAAGATTGCCAAGCCCTGATATGGGATCCTGCATTTGGAGGCCCAAAAGAGATTTTGTGTGGGCAAGAGCCTCCAACCCTGACTACTACGTCATTGGTCCCGCAAGGGTTAACCCACCTGCAAGAGAGTACTGAAAGGGGCAAGAAGCAGTCAGCAGATGTCTGTAAGGTGTTTAGTAAAAGAAGACACAGTGGTGAGGGGACTGTGATCTGTTGGCTCCTGTGGCCCATTTTATGGACTCACCAGTAGGCAGGAGCTTAAATCTTGGTGTGGGATTGGTTTAAACTGGTGGTGAGCCGTAGTTTTGTGGATAGAACTGACTCACTAAAATATAAGCATATGTGAGTATGTAGAAATTCTGCCCAATAAAAAGGTTTGATTTTGATTTTGATTACTACAAATGTGACTACTAAAAAGATGGGTCGGCGAGAAAAGTACTTTGATGGCTGTCATATGCTTGGAGTAACTTAATGTCGTGTAGATTTCTTTAATTTTGCTATATTTATGTTTCAGTAGTTTGCATTTAATGCTAGTATCATATTCCATATATGATGAAGTTTCCTATAATATTGGTAAAATCTGTGTATAGTATTATATTGAGGAGGTTGCCTGGTGGCTTTACAATGTGCTAAACAGTGTAGTAGAGTATTTCCTTTTTTTTTATTTTCCTTGTTTTACAGGGAACAAAAGTCATGTGAACTCCAGCCCAATAAATAGCTGAAAGTCTAGAGAGTTGAGAACATTTATAGAGACTTTGCTCATTCAGAGTCTTTTTAAAGTCCACCTACACAACCCAATTATATCCCTTTTCCCTGTGCTCTTCTGTTGATGTGTTTCTCCTCCAGAGCTGCTGCAATATACCTGGCACTTCTGGGTATGGGGGGTATTGGACCTTCTCCCTAGGCTCATAGTCAAACCAGGCAACCAAGCTGGAACACTGTCTCATCAGGAGGAGAATGGCATCATCAAACATAAATAAACCTTGACACCATCCATCACAGTGCTAACACAGGGTTAGGACTGGGGAAGGGGAGGGGTAGAAAAAGGTGAGCATGCATGGGTTGAGAGATAGGCTTTAAAGATATATAGATATATGTGGCCATGTGGATCTGGGTGTCATGTGGCAGAAGATATGCAAAAAACAGAAGTATACACATTCACACTCACTCAGAATCAGCAGAATCCCCAGTGCGAACAGAACCACTGCAAAGACCAGTCCTCCAATCCGCAAGCTTTCATAATCTGCATAGAAACAAAATTATATAACATCAGATCTTGGACGTCTCAAAAAAAAATGACTCTAAAAAGAAACTCTTTCGTAGATAAAATACATTAGAGGCAGGAAAAAAGTACATGTTGGTTTGCAGCACAGCTTCTTTTCTTTCTTTGAATATGCTATATGAGGCCAGGAAAAAGTGGCGTGAGAGCCAGCGCTCTATAAAAAATAAATTAAGGACATGTATCTGGAGCAGAGCAGTGGGATACTTGCAGCTTACTTTACAGCCTGATACAGATGTTGAATATGCAAGGACTAGGGGAGAATGCATGTGTATTGGTAATGTACTGGTAAAAGGACAGCATAAATCACTTGCAGTGCTGTATCTTGAACATTGCATTCTACTCTACGAAAAATACTTCAGATTGGAAGAATCTTCAACCTTGAACTATGTCTCATATTGACAGAATGTCTATGTCCAACCTTTGACAGCTCTTAGCAAACACTGTGCACAGCTCCTAGCTGTCAAATTGGGCTGGAGATGACAGAGATTTGGAACCAATCAGAACGGCTCCCTATCATTTGATTACTCTGTCAGCTACTGTATCTGTTCTAGTCAACGTATGCATACTAACATCGCATTTGGTTTGGACACCTAGGCATCCATGAAAGGGTTAAACGGCAAGAAATGGTTTGAATAGTAGTGGCCAATAGAGGTTACAAATATTTGAATGATTTTCTTTATAAAAATGTTATCTAAAATATTAATTACTATGAATAGGATGGTATTTTTTCCATTTTGTAGGGTGAGGAATTTATTTTGTTTCCCCAAGAAAAGAAATTGACCGTAGATGGTCTGGCTTTGCTTCCTCTGAACCAAAAATGCTGCCAAACATGTAAAAGTTTGTATGAGGATTAATTGACAGACATTTGTTTTTTTTCAACCTAAACAACTATGTATCATCTTTGCTTCAGATGGTTAACCAGTGGGCCAATGGAGGCATGCATGTCAGGAAACTAGAAACACAACTGAACAGAAAGGTGACAAAATATGAAAGGCAAAGGATTGTTACATTGGATTACAAAGGAATTGATTTCTTAAGACCAGGTCAGTTCTGACATTAAAAACCAAGTTACTTATGGAACAATCTACAATCATTTACTTGAAGAAGGACTTTGATCCTGTGTTACTGTGAAGGATTTGCCTCCGACACCAAATCACTGCAAAGAGAAATTGACCTTGTCTATATGCCACAGGTGAGTTTCAAAAAGCAGCAAAGGGTTGTGTTTTGTGATGAAATCTGCTTTGATCAGTTTGATTGAAAACAGCATTATTAGAGAAGGGAGTGTGACGTGGCTACTCCAATCACTGTGGGGACCATCAGTTATGAAGTGTGGGAGCTTATTTACTAAACACCTGCTGTTCTGTGCCATGGAATTATCACATTGCAAGGGAACGTTCCCTTAGCTTAGTAAATGCAGAGAAAATTCACTTTGAAAATTATGCCCAAACACATACAAGGAAAATAAAAAAACAGCATTTTTGCTTGTACATGATTAGATGATGTTAGTAAGCTAAGCTTGACCTCATTCAAGCTAAGAGAAAATTCCCTTGCAAAGTGAACAGCCTAATTGAAAAATAAACCCCAAGATCTCAGATGGTAAAGGTCACATAATATTTCTATACAGTAGTATAAAGCATTAATACCTGTTCTCCTATTGCTTATGAACACAACTAAAAATTATTTATTTCATGGTGTGTAACCATTTATAGACACATCTTGGTTGTAACATAACAGAGGCAATTGGTTGGTTCATGTCATGTAATGCCACCGTTACATAGTTGCATAGTTAATCTGGTTGAAAAAAGACACAAGTCTATCCAGTTCAACTAACCAGAGAAAAAAAAGGAAAACACACACAAATAGAAAACCCCCACATACACTATGCAATATCCGCAGTTGATCCAGAGAAAGGAAAAAAAAAACAATAAAGCATAATCTAATTTGCTCCTTCCTTCCTGGTCCCTCAAGAGGCAAATTTACCTATATATATTAGTATCGCGTTCAGGGGCGGACTGACAACTCATGGGGCCCCCGGGCAATAGGGGATCATGGGGCCCCTGTGTCCTCACCAACATCCAAAAAAGCCTATGAAAAGCCAATGAAAAGTACCAGGGGCATCTCATGGGGCCCCCGACTGGCCAAGGGCCGTCGGGCAGTGCCCAAGTGTTCGAATGGTCACACTGCCCCTGATCGTGTTATAATATGTACATTTCGGAAAAAATCCAGGCCTTTCATAAAACAATCTACTGAGCTGGCTCTTGAGGGAGTCTATTCCACATTTTCAAAGCTCCTACTGTGGAGAAGCATTTCCATACGTCTTACAGTTGTAAAGAGTGTCCCCTTGTCCTCTGCAATGACTCTAAAGTGAATAACTCTACACTGAGTTCATTATACGGACCACTTATGTGTTTATACATGTTGATCATATCCCCATGTCATATCATATCCCCATGTCATATCATATCCCCATGTCATATCATATCCCCCCTTAATCTCCTCTTCTCAAGAGAGAATAAATAAGGGCCACAGTTGAAGGTCAGTTTTAGAGAGTTTAAAGGATTAAGGCAGCTAAGTGGTTAGCACTTCTGCCTGGCAGCACAAGAGTTGTCACTTTGAATCTCAACCACACCACTGCCTGCATGGAGTTTGCATGTACTCCCCTGTACGTGCATGAGTTTCCTCCCACACTCCAAAGACATGCTGTTAGGTTTAATTGGCTCCTGTCTAAATTGGCCCCTGTCTAAATTGGCCCTAGTATGTGTTTTTTATGAATGTGAGTTACGGACCTTAGATTGTAAGCTCCTTGAGGGCAGGGGCTGTTGTGAATGTACAATATATATATGTAAAGTGCTGTGTAAATTGTTGGTGCTATATCAGTGCCTGTAATAAATATATAAATAAATCTGGTACTGAGCATTTGAGGTTGTATGCATTCAGTGACAGCCCCAAAAGCAAGTACTGCTTGTAACATTGTCCAATCTCTACATATTTCAGATAGTCATAGATGCTGACATTGGTGCTAGATGCCGCATCTGTGCCTCACAGGCACCTGAAATCACCAGGCTCTCACACACATCGGTCAAACCGCCTATATGCATGTAGCCTAAAGCAACCCATAGATGATTCCATTTTTTTGTTCAGCCAGAAGGGTGAACAGAAAAAACTGACCCGATTCCCCCATCCACACATTCGAGGTGGATAGGGGCATCACTCCCACTGAGCTATAGTATTTACATTTTTTTTTGTATTGTTAAAAATTAGGTTAGGGGAGAAATGTTGATGTAAACCCAAACCAACCTTAGCCCACTAAAGCACAGTGTATATTAAATGACTGCCCAAAAAAAATGATTCTTGTCTACATGCACTTGCTTCAGCATTGGCTGCAAATTATTGCGCTGGACTACCTTTGTGGTA